ACCACATTAAAAGAACCACAAAGTAAAACATTCTAAATTCTCAAGAGCCAAGAAATAATTAAGTATTCAAGCTATTAACTCCATGGACGATTATGTGGCAATGGAAATAAATATGAAAACTCTCTAGATGCATGAAAAATAAAAAATAATGTTAACAACTTTTTAAAATGACATATTTACACTATGACGAGAACTAGATTTATTTACTGATGTCATACAAAGAGAATGTTGGATAGTTGTTACAGTACAGTCATGGGGTTGTGGGGTTGTGTATGCATGAGTGTATATGTATAGGCATGTGTTTGAACATGGATGTTTCTTTTGATAAAGTTGTTGAAATAAGCAAAATTAATTTTGAAAAACTATGTGATGTTAACAGCCCCAACAATCTGACAAGGATATGATGTTAAAAGCTCCCCCAAAAGCTACTCACTTAAGGATAGAAAAGGGGTTCAGGGGGTATGAGGGGTGGTGGAATATAGAGTGACCATATCAGTACCAATGTTGAAGCTTGACCAGCAGACAAGTGAGTTGCTGGTCAAGAGACAAGAAATTTTATGCTGAAAAACAAATACATTTGTGCCAGCACGTTTATGTAAAATAAAAATACAAGAAAAGAGAACATCAACTGAGTCATCTTCAAGGAAATGAAAAGTAAAATGAAATAAGCAGGAAGCTAACATCTGCCCAGTGGAAAACTCCTCCTGCTAGAAGGGAAACAAGGAGGCCCGGGAGACAGGCTTCAGGTGGTGGCATAGGAGAAGCTAAAGGAAAAGAAAGAGGATGAGCACAGAATCCTAAGAACAAAGTAGTGTTTAGTGAAAGAAGAAGTATTGGGGTGTAAGTATAATTAATCAAATAAAGATAAATGAACAGCATGAGAATATCCAAAGGCAGGATAGCAGGAGCCAGAAGGAACACAATCTCAGAGGAAGTGTGTTACATTGGTTGGAAAGTGGTGTGTGCCTAAAAGTTTTTGATTTGTGTCTGGGAAGGAAATCTATTTATGTAACAAATTAAACATTTCTTATTATACAATCACCCTGTGATGATCTCAGATACTTAGCTAATGAAATAGCACAGCCAGGTGTTATGTCTGAGAAGAGGGGTGCAGAGCTGCCATATATGTGGCAGGCAGAGCAACTGGTTAAAGAAGCACAAGGTGAAATGTGTTGAAACCACATAAACCACACTGGAACTCGCAAGAGAGAGAAGAAATCCAAAAGCAGCAGGAAAAAAATTTTATAAGAATTTAGACATAAGAATCCTTATGGGTTTTTTTCTTCCTGGTTTGGTCATGGGCATGGTTAGTACAGACAAAATGGGAACTTTATTTATTTTTTAATTGATTTGAGAAAGAGAGAGAGAGACATGGCTTTGTTGTTCACTTATTTATGCATTCATTGGTTATTTTTTGTATGTGTCCTGACCAGGGACTGAACACACAACCATGGTATATGGGGACAACACTCTAACCAACTGAGCTACCTGGCTAGGGTCTGAAATGCAATCTTTAAGGGAGAGCAATTACAGGGTAAAAAACCTAAAGAATGAGACCAGAAAGAGAAAATGAGAGAAACAGAAAGGAACTAAGGAAGAAAAGAAGAGAGCTATACTGCTGACTTTTTCTTTTCTGTCTTTCATAAGGAAATACATGTGATAGGAAGGAAGAAAGGGAGGAAGGAAGAAAAGAAATGAGAAGGAGGAAGAGTGGATGAAAGAAAGGAGTGTGAGTGCGTATGAAAAGGGTACAGGAAAAGCATAAAACAGCTTTGAAGAGACTGTCATGGTATAGAAACCAACCAAAACAGGACAAAATAAAAAGTGAAGAACACTAGACCAATAACTCTAAGGAGCTTAGATGCAAAAATCCTCAACAAAATGTTAGCAAAAGAAACTAACAATGTCTAAAAAATTATACATCCTGATCAAATGAGATTTATTCTAGGTATCTACAAAAAACCTACAGCCAACATTATACTTAACAAGGAAAGACTAAATGTTTTCCCATAAAAATCAGGAACAAGGCAAGAATATCTGCTGTCACCACAGTAACTCACCATGGTGCTGGAAGACAGAGCCAATGCAATAAGGCAAGAAGAAGGGGGAAGAGGCATACAGGTAGGAAAGGCAGAAATTAAAATATTATCTACAAGGAAGCTCCTAATGAATCTATAAAAACACTCCTAGGACCAATAAGTGAGGTTAGCAAAGTTTCAGATACAAAAAAAAATCAGCTGTATTTCTACAAACAAGTCATGTACAATTGAGACTTAAAACTTGAAAATATACCATTTATAAAAGTTTCAAGATAACTGAAATATTTAGGTATAAATCTAACAAAACATGTATAGAATCCTATCTATACATGTATAGTATCCTATTTAATAAACATGTATAGTATCCTATCTAATAAAAGAGAAACGTGGTAATTGGCATACGACCGCTACCCTTCCCATTGGCTAATCAGGGCAATATGCAAATTAACTGTCAGCCAAGATGGCGGACGGCAGCCAGGCAGCTTGAAACTAACATGAGGCTTGCTTCAGTGACGGAGGACTCCAACGTTCCCCGCAGGTCGCTGCAGGCCTCTGAGCCTGCAGTTTCAAACATTGTAACAAATATAGACACTAAACAAAACCCCAGAAACCAGCTTTCAGCCGGCTGGGATCTCAGAGCTGGAGCTGATACAGAGTTTCAAGAACCGAAACAAACCAGATACCTGCTTTCAGGAGAGGAGGCCTAAGAGCTGGAGCCTCAGAGCTAAAGCTGGCCCAGAATAAAAAAAGAAAAAAGAAAAAAAGGAGCAGTTGGGAGCTTCAGTCCCAGCCTGAAAACAGCCCTCAGCCCCTCACCCAGACTGGCCAGGCACCCCAGTGGGGACCCCCACCCTGAAGGGTGTGTGACCAGCTGCAAACAGCCATCATCCCCTCATCCAGGCTGGCCAGGCACCCCAGTGGGGACCCCCACCTGATCCAGGACACCCTTCAGGGCAAACCAGCCAGCCCCGACCCGTGCACCAGGCCTCTATTCTATATAGTAAAAGGGTAATATGCCTCCCAGCACCAGGATAAGCGGAGCTGAGAGGCCTCCCGGCACCGGGATCAATGTGACAGGGGGCAGCGCCCAAACCCCCTGATAGCCCGGTGGCTCTGTGGGTGACAGGGGGCAGGGCCACAACCTCCCTATCCATCCTGCTCTGTTCGTGACAGGTGAAGGTGCCCCAACCCCCTGATTGGCCCTGCTCTGTGGGTGATAGAGGGCAGCGCCCCAACCCCCTGATCTACCCTGCTCTGTGTGTGACAGGGGGCGGTGTGCCAACTCCCCTATCGGCCCTACTCTGTGCGTGCAGGGGGCAGCGCCCCAACCCCCTGATTGGCCCTGCTCTGTGCATGACAGGGGGTGGCTCCACAACCTCCCCATTGACTCTGCCTTGAGTGTGACAGGGGGCGGTGTCCCAACCCCCCAATCGGCCCTACCCTGAGCATGACTGAGGGTGGCATCACAACCTCCCAATCCGCCCTGCTCTGTGCATGACAGGGGGCGGCGCCCCAACTCCCCAATTGGCCCTGCTCTGAGCCCAACCAGGGGCTGCACCTAGGGATTGGGCCTGCCCTCTGCCACCCGGGAGCAGGTCTAAGCCAGCAGGGCATTATCTCCCGAGGGGTCCCAGACTGCGAGAGGGCACAGGCCTGGCTGAGGGGCCCCCCTTCCCCCCGAGTGTACAAATTTTTGTGCACCGGGCCTCTAGTAATAAAATAAAAATGAAGATGCCTGCTGGCAGATAAATGATTGTGTAATTCAAGTAATTATCTACTAGCCAGAATATAAATGAGGCTATAAAATAAATAATATAAGAGTGTGCAAAAGTAGGTTTATAGTTTTTATAAAGAAAATAATACAGTTAATAAATAATAATACAAGAATAAACTCTGTTTCACATACATAGAACTGTAAACCTACTTTTGCTCCACACTGTATAATGTAAATATTTATAATATATTTATAAATTTATTTACTTATTTTTACATATTTATATATTATCAACATTTATAATATAAATAATATAAATAAAAGTTCAAGAAAATTATAGTACTATTCAGACTAATAAACACATTGTTCTACTTAATTGCACCAAGTTGTTTGACTATTTCCTCTGGAAGCATATTATTTTATACTTTTAAAGTAATTAAGAATTTATTTAAAAGCAAAAACTGTTTAAAATCACACTAAAACTAAATCATGCTATTTATGTAAGATCAGCCAAACAAACAAATGTCTCTTCTGAATTTAGCAAGTTGCAACCTTTATAAAATTTGGGTTTTTTTTTTTGTCTTTTTGTGTTGTACCACTACAAAATGTTCTTGGTTTGAATCCAGGCACTCTCATGCTGTGTGTAAAAACAGCCAACAAGAGTGGAGGTCTGACTTAATGTGATCTTGCAGGCTCAAAGTCAAATCATTCTGAAACAATATTTTGTTCTGCCTGATTGACTCAGCAAATATTGACCTGAAATTCTGCCATGTACACATACTTTTCATGGTGCACTTCAGAATTTTCTCCTATTCTGCCCATAAAAAGGACCTCTCTCCCTTACTTGGATGCTGATTGCTAATATCAGTTATCTGTTCCCATATCTGTAATCTGTGGTCTGAAACTGTCTCTAGTTGGAACTTCTCTTGCATATGAATTCCTCAACCTATGGCTGCTCAGCAGTGAAGATATTATCTAATCCACCTGCTTGATTTAAATAGGATTATACTAATTTTGATACATAATCACATAGCCAAAATGATTATTAAAATATTATATTGTAGCTAAAATCCTCACCAATGGAAAAATACCTACATTGACAAAATGTTGCTGTACAACTCTTGTTAGTAATCTATTCCTAGGTCATTTGGTGCTACTGGAATTTAAGGAATTATCTAATAATATATGGGAAAGATATGTACATTTTTTCCCTAGAGAGATTATTTTAAAGCCAAATTAAAGCTTACCAAAATTTTAATTGGTTTCAGCACTTTTCTAGTAATGGCACCCGGGGCTCTTAAACGAATCGTTTCCAAAATACACCATTTAATTAGAGGGAGTTTCTTCAAGTCATCCTCAGACACTTTAATCTTATCTTTACCTGTAAAAAGAATTTAAAAAGAAAATGGACTTAAAGAGGCCAGGAAATGATTTCAGGTAAGCTCATAAACATAGGTTAGATACTACCTCTGACAGCTAGTGTTAATATTACTATTACTCTTTAAATACCAGCCTTAGACATTTATTGCCTCTTACCAAGATAAAATGTATGGCATCGGCATAAAAAAACTAAGTCAATGTTGATTGCTGCAACATAATGGATTGTATCCAATCTTGGTTCTCACAATCCTATGTCTGTCAAATGACTATGACAGGCCCTGTCAGAATGGTGTTCAATTTTCACCCATTTCATTCTTCCTTGTCCAAATTCTCATTTCACTTAAGGAAATAGCAATATAAGACTGGCATCAAAAGTACAAAGAATATGACCCAAGAAATCTGACACACCAGTTAGAAAGGACATATGCACCCCTATGTTCATAGTAGCACAATTTATAATAGCTAAGATTTGGAAACAGCCCATCAGCAGATGAGTGGATTAAAAAACTGTGGTACATCTACACAATGGAATACTACGCCGCTATAAAAAAGAAGGAACATTTGCGACAGCATGGAGAGACCTGGAGAGCATTATGCTAAGTGAAATAAGTCAGTCAGAGAAAGATAAATATCACATGATCTTACTTATTTGTGGAATATAATGAACAACATAAACTGATGAACAAAAATAGATCCAGAGACAGAGAAAGACCAAACAGACTGTCAAACCTAAGAGGGAAGGCCGGGGAGGGTGGTGTGTGTGTGGGGGGAGAGGGGATGTAAGAGATCAACCAAAGACTTGTATGCATGCATATTAGCATAACCAATAGACATAGACACTGGGGTGGTGGGGGCTTGTCCTGGGGGGTGGGAGTGGCCGGGAAGGGGTCGATGGTGGAAAAAGGAGACATATGTAATTCTTTAAATAATTAAAAAAAAAAGAAAGAAAAGAAACTGAAGAAACAATTGCCTGGGCGGGGGGGGGGGGGGGGGGGGAGTACAAAGTAAGAGATCTGAGAAGCCACCTGGCTTACTTCTTCTATCTCTTCCCTGCTGATTCATTTTTGTTTTTGCTTCTTTTTAATCAGACATTTCAGAAGTTTCCCCCCAAAATATTAGGAAATGGGTGATGAGATACATGTATTTCATCCGGACTGATGATTTCTCTACACATAGGTGCATCAGATGTTCCTAATGTAGCATGCATAGCTTAGCTAATATTCAGACCCAAGGCAACTGAAAAAGGATGGAGGCCAATCTGTTTATGATCCAAAGTATGGGCAGGGCCTTAAGTCAGATTAGACAACTTAGCTAATGGTGGTATTTCAAGTAAAATATTTCCATTTTGAAAATTAAAACAACTCAGCTTTCAATTGGTTTTGGAGTATTGGCTTAATAAACGTAACAACATTGTTAGTTAAATGAAGTCAACTTTCCTATTTGCTTTCCAACTGTACTGGGAATGACTGGGTAAGAGTGGAATATAGGGTCTCAAGCATGTCTCTCCTACATTCTGGATGAGGCTTGTTCTAAAAGCAAGCCCGTTCTGCATGAGAGATGGGTCCGTGCTGTGTCTATGTCAGCACATGTGGAATTCCTGGGGAGTTAGAAGCAAATGTCTTTGGTTAGTAGAGTCTAGGAACCAGGGCTTTTGGACTCTGGTTCTACTAATCCCCATAGGGGTGCCTACACACTCCGTTAAGCTCGATAGGTTCCTGACACAAATAGGGACCAGGAGCTGAGTTAGGCTCTACCAGGGTTACAACAATGAAGGCTTCTTGCAACACATTTAGTCTCGTAGGAGGTAAGAGACAAGCTCATAGTTAACTGGTACACCACATAGGCAAGGAAGCTATTCTGTGAGGTGTGAAAGGCAGGGATGCTCACATTCAACTACAGGTAAAGCTAAATATTCTATGAGTATCTTCCTCTAAAGCTACAAATATAATTAGTTCCTTGTACAAGTAGATCTCAGTAAGTACATATTGAACTAACAAATGGCCCAACTTCCACATGGAGAGATGAATAGTGGATATTCTAGGCAAACAAAAGACGAAGAGCAAGTCCCTGAAAAAGTTTGCTCTAGTAACAGTGAAGATTCTAACCTTTTATTTTATTACTAGAGGCCCGGTGTACGACATTTGTGCACTGGGGAGTGTGGAGGTCCCTCAGCCTGACCTGCACCCTCTCCAATCTGGGAGCCCTCAGGAGAGCCCTCTCCAATCTGGGAGTTTCTGTCTGTCTTTGCAATCATACAAGCGAATTGTCTGAGACCCCAACTCAGTTTGGTTTGTTGCTCACAGAATAATGGAGCCTTTTTTTTTTCTTTGCTTCATTGGTGGAGATTTAGGATATCTTCCCTTTAATTTTTCCTGGAAACTCTGATTTTACTTATGTCTCTCACCTTTGCTTTCCCTCCATCCCCCACCACAACAGTAATTTGCTCCAGGCTCACTTTGCTCTAGTGTCTAGGACAGTGGTCGGCAAACTCATTAGTCAACAGAGCCAAATATCAACAGTACAACGATTGAAATTTCTTTTGAGAGCCAAATTTTTTAAACTTAAACTATATAGGTAGGTACTTTTTCTTATTAACTTAATTAGGGTACTTCTAAGCCTTAGGAAGAGCCACACTCAAGGGGCCAAAGAGCTGCATGTGGCTCGTGAGCCGCAGTTTGCCGACCATGGGTCTAGGAGATCCATCTGCCACCAGAACTACTATTCCCAGAATTCCTGGTGCTCCCCGTGCTCTTGGTTTCCTTTACTGCTTTGTCTCCATCTCATGGCCTCCCACTCTGCCAAGTCCTCCAAGCCGCCAGCTCTCTCTCTCTCTGCTCTCTGTCTGGCAGCTTGCGGAGCCAAGTTCCCCAAGACGCTCCACTCTGCGCCAGCTCTCCCGCTCTGCTCTCCACCTAGTGGCTTTGGGGGAGCGACTGAGGGAGCCATGTCCCCGAAAGCCGCCAGCTCTCCTGCTCTGCTCTCCTCCTGGCACCTGTGTATGCAAATTAACCTGCTGTCTTTGTTGGGTTAATTTGCATACTCACTCTTGTTTGGCTGGTGGGCATAGTGGAGGGATGGTCAATTTACATGTTTCTCTTTCATTATATAGAATATTATCTTTTATTTTATTTTTCTGACCTCTTTTTAGAAAAAAAGAGATTTTATAAAAGCTATTATTAGAGTACTTGAATTATAAAGTGCAAAAATGTTTTGTGTTATGTAATATAGAAAGAAAAGCTTCTTTTGAGTTGAATGTAATATTTAAAATCTATTATGACCTATAAAAATATGATAGCTGTAGACTACTCTTGGAGAACAAATGTTTTGATAAAATATTTTTAGTTTCTCAAAACCCAATGTGATGTGGGAAAAGCAAGGTAGTATTCTTGGATTATTCAAAGAAAAAAAGGAAATATGCTAAGTTTTCAAACAACATCTTTAGGTTAAAGACCTTTCTTATTATAACTCTTAGAAAAGGCTCTGTACTCATACTGTGCATATTTCAATGCACATCTGTGGTTTGTTCCCCCAGCATTTTGACTCTAAAATTAGGAGGCTTCACTTGGAAGCATGCCAAGTTCATCATCAAGTGCGCGAGAGCCTAAAGCCACCCAGGACCAGTGCAGAAGACATCCACGGAAGAAATCATGGGTGATTTCGGGTAAAATTCAGAGACTGTTGTTTAACCATGGGCATAAATGCAATGAAAGTCAAACCAAATCTTAGGGTATTTGAAATCAAATAAAAGAAGTAACAGGGTAACTATAAATTATATTTGTTAAGGTTATATAATGGATTGAAATTCTATTATTTCACCCACTTATTCACTCAATAGAAATTTGCTTCATATCTGTCACATGCTAGCCTAAGCACAGGTGCCATAAGAGGCAGGAAGAGAATAATACTAATTTATTAACCACCTAATGTCACAGATACTTTGGACAACTTCATTTATTTCTTAAAACTCTCTGCCAGCGATCAAGCCTCAGAGAGATTATTGTGTGGGAAGACCAGCCCCTGTGCTTCAAACCCATGTCTTCCTACATTGAAAACCCTTGCCCTTGATCACTATGTCCCATCACTTCCCCTCGGAGGAGAAAGGAAGGAGAAAAACACAGCCATTGCCTTAAAGGACCCAACATCTTATCCTATCTAATAAAAGAGAAACATGGTAATTGGTGTACGACCGCTACCCTTCCCATTGGCTAATCAGCGAGTATGCAAATTAACTGCCAGCCAAGATGGCGGCCGGCAGCCAGGCAGCTTGAAACTAACATGAGGCTTGCTTGCTTCAGTGACAGAGGACTCCAACGTTTCCTGCCTGCCACTGCAGGCCTCTGAGCTGCAACTCTAAGCAACTATGTAACAAATATAGAAGCTAAACAAAACCCAAGAAACCTGCTTTAGACCAGCGGGCTTCAGCCAGCAGGATCGCAACACTGTAAGCAAAGGCTAGAAACCTACTTTCAGCAGCGGAGGCCTAAGAGCTGGAGCCAAGCCTCAAAGCTAAAGCTGGCCCAGAATAAAAAAAAAAGAAAAAAAGAAAAAAAAGAGCGGTTGGGAGCTTTAGTCACCCCTGGCCTGAAAACAGCCCTCAGCCCCTCACCCAGACTGGCCAGGCACCCCAGTGGGGACCCCCACCCTGATCCAGGACACCCTTCAGGGCAAACCAGCCGGCACCCTCCCGTGCACCAGGCCTCTACCCTATATAGTAAAAGGGTAATATGCCTCCCAGCACCAGGATAAGCAGAGCCGCGAGGCCTCCCGGCACTGGGATCAGCGTGACAGGGGGCAGTGCCCAAACCCCCTGATCGCCCTGTGGCTCTGTGTGTGACAGGGGGTGGGGCCACAACCTCCCTATCCACCCTGCTCTGCTTGTGACAGGGGAAGGCGCCCCAACCCCCTGATCAGCCCTGCTCTGTGCCTGATATGGGGGAGCTCCCCAACCCCCTGATCACCCTGCAGCTCTGTGTGTGACAGGGTGCGGTGCCCCAACCCCCT